ATCGAATGCGGGCATTTATGGGCGTGAAGATTACGGTAGCAATGCGCGAGAGCCGCCAAATTCTTAATTTACTCACCATTGCACTGTGTGCCATCACCAGTAAATCCATGAATACATTTACATCCGCAACTACCCGGTTGATTGATGCACATTGCCATGCTATGACAACCAGCGATGCCTCGTTCACATTCGTTGACATCTGAAAAAAAGTCCGCTGCTAAAAGAAAAGTGAAAAAATTGCAATGCTTACCAACGCAGACGCCTCCGGTTCCCTCGTATCCCTCCAAGCATTCACATCTGAATCCACCATCTTCATTAACGCAAACGGATGATGCTGGATCACAATTGTGGCGATTTTCAGCGCATTCATCGATGTCTGAACGAGATAGGGTACGGTAATGGTGAGGGTGGATACGGTAGCGGGCGAATTTGTGCAAGGTAAGTAGTGGTGTCGTATTTACCTTCGCATTGTCTAGTAGCCGTATTGAAACGATAGTTTGGTTCACATTCGCAAATGCTTGTCAATGACCCATCAAATACTCTCACAGACAAGCAGGCGGTGTGATTTGTTCGACCACAGAATTTTTCCATTTCCAAGCAGCTTTGCTCCCACGGATTCACACATGATTTTACTCCATCTCCTAAAAAAAGGATGGAGCTTGGCAGGGTTATGTAAAAATATTGCGAGTACCGTACCTTCGAATCCGAGTGGGCATCGACATTCATACGATCCTTGTGTGTTCTTGCATTCAGCTTGGGGATGGCATGGCATCATCAGGCATTCATCCTCGTCTGAATAAGCGGTAAGAGTACTTAGTTAGAGAGAAAGGGAAGAGAAAGAAGATTTGAGCTTTACCTTCGCACATGTAGCCATCTCCCCGGTATCCTTTATTGCATTGACATGCATAGGTTCCCATGAGGTTGTTACATGCAGCATTCTTATCGCACATGTTTAGGCCAGGTTCAGTGCATTCATTGATATCTGGGATGTCGCTTATTACTTTTGATGGGGTAATTATGTTTTTTGTAGAATTAGCTTTCTAAAATTTCGGAGATTTTCAAAGTCCCAATTTTCCCACTTTTCACGTTGAAAGTCTGTAGCTACGTACTCCCCGAAAACTCCCAAACTCACCGACACATTCCCCATCAACCATTTCGAATCCCATTTTGCATACGCTACAATCCTTGACTCCTTTCGCATCCACCAAACACATATGGTTCTTGCCACAGTTGGCCACAGCCCATTCGGCCTCGGTACATCCTCGTTTCTCAAGTGGCATGCACTTGTAGCCATCACCAAAGAATCCTAAAATGTGTTCTCATTTGCCAAAAATGCAATTTGGTGGTTGATGATGGGAATCAAAATGGGAAGGAAGGCTTTTTGGCAGAACTCAGTGAAGGAGATAGAAGAGAGTCAAAAAACTTAAAAGATTGGAGAAGGTCCAAAAATGTAAAGAAAAAGTTAAAGTGGAGAGTAGAGGAAGAAGAAAGAAGGCCTCCTCCTTGAGGAAAACGTACCTTCGTTGCATACGCAACCATAAGACCCAAGTTTATTGATACAAGTGGCATTGGTACTACAGCATGCTCCATTTGACTCGGTACATTCGTTGATATCTAAATTGGTCCTTTTTG